GGCGGTGAGCATATCAACAAACACCCCACAGGCTGCTGAAAACAAGCGGGTGTACTCGGCAGCTGTCCCACGTGGTGAAGGCGAGAAGCGTGCGGGGAGGCCGAGCTGCAGCCCTTCAGCCCGAATGTGGTTGAAACAATTAAAAAAAAAAAAAAATTGTCACAATTCATACCCCTGACCTGGTGAGATGCACAGGAGGTGCATGGGGCGTGGGGGAGGTGCGGAATAGAACACGAAAGGCAGGGCGTGGCAGAAAGAGTCCTGATAGGGCTTCGAACCCTGCTCCCCTCCCCCGCTGGGCAATTCCTCCGTGTGGCTGCCCCTTCAGAACCTCCAACAGCCCGGCCAGGGTACCCACCCCAGGCAGGGCCCTGTGGACACACAGGTGAGAGAGCAGCTAGCTGGCTCTTGGGAGAAATACTCCTATTTGTAAACAAGGACAGGGGAGGGATGCAGCCGGGGAGCAGCTCTCCCCCAATTTGCAGACGGAGAAAATCAGGGCTCCTCGGGAGGAAACAACTTGGCCTCAGGCTTCTCTTGGGGCTCAGACTGGGATTCCTAGAGAATGGAGGGACTTTCCCTGCTTTGGGCCTTTTTGTAAAAAGCAGCCAGAAAAAACAGAGCCACTGTCCACACGATCGATCGATCGTGAGGGGAACTCCAGGTCTGAGCAAAGCTTTGGAACCCAGAGGGCATGAGGTTTGGCTTTCTTTGCCTGTCTTCAGTTTCCTAACATCACAGTGTGAGGCTGGGCAGGCAGCCAGCTGAGCTCAGGGAAGGAATAAAAGAGGAGAAGGGACACTGGGCCAGGAGGGCGAGGGAGGGCCTGCCCTAGGCTGGAAAGAGTGTGTGTCTAGCTCTAGCGAGGAATGGACTCACATCCGGGGGTGGGAGGGGAGCTGATGACAACCAGCCATGTGAACTCAAGAGGCCTGTCAATGAGCCTGCTGGGTCTCTTGAACCTCATACACGCAAAACTACGTATGTCTGTGTAGGCCTCGAAAGCATTCACAGCTCTCATCAGATTTTTTTTTTTAAGATTTTATTTATTTATTTGCCAGAGAGACACAGCGAGAGCAGGAACACCAGCAGGGGTAGTGGGAGGGGGAGAAGCAGGCTTCCCGCCAAGCAGGGAGCCCAATGTGGGGCTCAATCCCAGGACCCTGGGGATCATGACCTGAGCCGAAGGCAGACGCTTAAAGACTGAGCCACCCAGGCGCCCCTCTCGCCAGATTCTTAAAGGGCTCTGTTGCCCACAACAGGCTGGAAGCAATCTCTCACTTCACAGACGAAACTGAGGCCCAGAGAAGGTGAGCATCCTGCTGGAGGTCGGCACTGAAAAGTAATACAGCCGCATGCAAACCTAGGAGTCCGACTCCAAAGAGCCCATGTACTGACTTGAGATGCTATAGGAAGTTACTCAGATTAAACCAGCATGAACTTAGCATCTATCATGTCCAAGATTTTGATGGAAAGCACGGGGAGAATACAAAAAGCAACTAGAAAAGAAAAACCATAAGATGTTGTTACTTTGTCCAGAGAGTAAAGACCAGACCAGTGCAAAGGTGACTCACGATAAAGGAGGCTATTTTCACTTGTCACTGTCCAGTGCTCTGACCACCACACACACACATGCATGCACACACACACACACACACACAGCATACACACACACACGCGCGTGCACACACTGCAGGAGGCAGGTGGCTGACTTGCTCACCTGGCATCTGCAGCACCTACAACAGAGTCTGGCTCACAGCAACTCCCAGGAGTAGTTTGCAGGTGAACAAGGACCGACTGAGTGGGTGTAGACCAAACGTACTGGTGGGGGGTGGGGGAAGGACAGGGAGGGCTTCGTGATGTTTCTACCTCCCCTTACAGTCTCCTAAGCATGTCCACCATCATTACTCTCCTTGGTCCTCTTGACCACCCATGCATGGGTCACACAGACAGGTGTCCCCCGTTTTCAGGGACATGAAAGGCTGGGCGAATCATAAGGATAGTTGCCATTCATTGAACCCGCACCTTGATTTCCTCATGGAAACAATACCTGAGAACCAGAGAACACACTACTAATTCCATGAGTCCAGACCGGAGTTTGCGCAGGAGGTAGTGAGAGGTAGAAATGGAATTACGAGCAGGGTCTTCCCCCTCTCTTGTCCCCACAGTCCACTGGAACTACCAGAAGGGATGAAACATACTCCTGAAATACCCATTGCCTCTTCCTGCTCAGCAACACCACCATCCTACCTACCCCCACTCCCACTTCCACACACACACTTACAGCAGGAAGTTCACCAGGACTTAAGGATGAGCATCACGTGGGTCCATCTCACTTCGTAACTCAGCTAGGGTCCCAACTCAGCATATTTCGTGTCCAGGAAAATACTTTGCTTTCTTCCTCAAAGAGGGAAACTGAGATCAGAGAAAGGAAACAGAAATAGAGCTCACATGGAATACCTGAACCTTAGGAGAAGCTTCAGGATTTCTCTAGAAACAATGCAGGGTGGTAGAAAGTCTATAAACCCAGACAGACTTGGATTCAATGTCGGGTTCTACCACCACAGGCTATGCGACCTCAGCAAGTCACTTAACCTACGCCTAACCGACCCACCTGCTTAAAAACCAACACTTTTGGGCGCCTGGGTGGCTCAGTGGGTTAAAGCCTCTGCCTTCGGCTCAGGTCATGATCCCAGGATCCTGGGATCGAGCCCCACATCGGGCTCTCTGCTCAGCAGGGAGCCTGCTTCTCTTCCTCTCTCTCTGCCTGCTTCTCTGCCTACTTGTGATCTCTCTGTCAAATAAATAAATTAAATATTTAAAAAAAAAAAAAAAAAAAAAAAAAACCAACACTTTTTGTGACACAGCTCACTAACCCGTGTTAACTGGGAGTCTGATCTAGATGGCTGAAAAACCTAAAGTAAGTCCCCTAAAGGGACTGCCATTATAATAACATGATAATGATCACTAACGTTATTAAGTACCTAACACGCATCAGGCATGGTACTAAGAGCTTTACACACGAACACTTTTATAGGAACTTAACTATCTCAACAGCTGGGCGGGGGGGGCATTAATATTTCCACTGCATTAGAGAGGAGGGAACCAAAGCCAGAGAGATTAAGTACCTGGCCAAAGGCTGTCTAATAAATGGGGAAAACACCAAAGCCCCTGCTCTTGACCACCAGGTACACGGCCTCCCACACGTTTAGTAACTTGGGGGACTGTGTGAGGGAAACAGTTAAAGCAGGCAAACCATTACTGTGTGGACAGATGGTTTCAAAAGTGCCTGCCATGTGTTTCTTTAAATGAGATGGCCACGGCTTTCAAAACTGCGTTTCTATCGTAAATGGGTGAATGAGTCACGAGGCGGGGAGGAGAGGCTTCCTAGGACAGGCTTAGGGCAGCAGCCGGCACCTAGACAGGATGCAGTAACACCGTTAACTGCCTCACTGAGGTGACTCAGTGGCAAAGGCTTGAGCCTGGTCATCAGAAGCACCTTGATGCAATCCCACTGATCGCCATGTGACCCTGAGGACCTTACTGACCTTTTCTTTTTTTTTTTTTTAAGATTTTATTTATTTATTTGACAGAGAGAGATCACAAGTAGGCAGAGAGGCAGGCAGAGAGAGAGAGGGAAGCAGACTCCCTGCTGAGCAGAGAGCCCGATGCGGGACTCGATCCCAGGACCCTGAGATCATGACCTGAGCCGAAGGCAGCGGCTTAACCCACTGAGCCACCCAGGCGCCCCCTTACTGACCTTTTCTATGAAATGAGAATAACCACCCTTCCTCAAAGTCACCGTGAGGAGAAATGAGATAAGGTCTTCCCGGTCTGAGTGATTCAGTCACCCTCAGACCCCAAGTTACATAGGCCACAGAGTTAGCAAGAAAACGTTCTTGGTATAAGATTATGTTTTTTGAAAGTTACATTTTTTTTTAATTTGTTTGCTCTTGCCACTGTTGCTAGACAATTTGCTCTTAGATAATTCAGATGTCAACCTCAGCCCAGCCCAGGAGAAACGGTCAGTATTCTGAAGTATCCAAACACGAATGGATGAAGAGGGCGCCTGGGTGGCTCAGTCGGTTAAGCGTTGGCCTTCAGCTCAGGTCACGATCTCAGGGTCCTCGGATCGAGTCCTGCACCAGGCTCCCTGCTCTGGGGGAAGCCTGGTTCTCCCTTTGCTCCTCCAGCTCACGCTTGCTCTCTCAAAAATAAATGATAATCTTAAAAAAAAAAAGTGGGGGGGAATGGATGAAGATTTACTGAACCCAAGTCTTTGGAATGGAGTAGGGACTTTGTCTCTAATCAAGACCCCACATGGGTTCAGTTCAAGGATGTCCTCAACCATGAGCATTTTCATGGTAGGTAATACTGAGTGGACAGGGCACTGAAGTGGATTCTGATTCCACTGTTCATTTGCTGTGTGTTCTTAGCAAGTCATTTCTGCTCTCTGGGCCTCAGTTTCCTCCTCTGCAATTGAAGAACATGGGAGAAATGATCCCTAGGGTCCTCTGCAGCTTTCAAATTCTCTAACTTTTGTATCCAAGATCTTAGAAATGAGATGGGATCCCAGCAATTGCTGAATTTCTTCATCTGTAAAATGGGGGAAATGAGCATAATAATAGTACATGAGCAGACCTGTAAGATCTTTAGAATAGTGGCTGGCACCCTAGGGTGGGTGTTCTCACCTCCTTTGGGGGCTAGATGTCAGAGAACCCTCCCTTCCATGGATGAGAGGGGAAATACGGATCTGTAATGCATGAGCAAGAAATACGGATCTGTAACGCATGTGGTTGAAAGCGACCAAATAAACACTCAGTTTATTTCTAATCCATCCTAACTGCCCCCACCACCCCCAGGGAAGCAGCCTCTGGACCTCTGATAAGCACCCTTGCCCCAAAAGAGGAAGCTGAAGATGCCATCAGAGGAAGAGGTTTTCCACCACCCGTGCCTGTATTAGCTCTTCTGGACGGCAAAGAAGGAACAGATGAGCTCACTCTGGATCAGAGGCAGTGAGGAGGAGAGAGAGAAAGAGAGACTCAAATTTCCGGAACCTATTTCAGTTTTCTTTTCCATTTTCTGCAATTTCACTTATACCAAGCAGTACGTGGCTGCTGTTTTGGAAACTCCCCTTGGGGGGGCGCCCCTTCTACTGGCCTGACTCCATAAAAGGGCCAGCCTCAGCTTCAGAAGATCCCCACAGAGGTTCCTGAGACAGCCGGTGGCTCTCACGCAGCCTCCACCCGCAGGTACCATGAAGGTCTCCGCAGCTACCTTTGCAGTCCTCATTGCCACTGCCGCCTTCTGCGCTCCTGCCTCTGCCTCCCCATGTAAGTCAGGTCCCGACCACTGCAGCCTGGAGCCAGACCCTCACACTGGCCCAGACTTTGCCCTCCTTTCAGCTGCAGCATTTATGCTGTCTGAACCTGATAATTTACATTCCTATATATTGCTTTGCCTAGATGTCCAGCTGTCCCAAGAGATCTCAAAGCCACTTCATGGCAGGGACCCTCTCTGCTCAATTTTTCTGTCCTCAGGATCTACACCCCAGCCTTTCAGGGACTGATTGTGGATCGACACTGGGGATGTTAGCAGGCAGAGGCAGCCTAGACAGACCTCGAAACATAGCTAACTCACACCTATCACCAGCAGTGTTCCTAAGAAACCTCTAAGGTTGGGACAGTCCTATTCTACCCATTTCATAGATGGAAAAAGTGGGGCTTGGGAGAGGATTTTAACTTTTTAACTTTTTATTTTTTTAAGATATATTTGAGAGGGAGGAAGGGAGAGAGTGGTGGGGAGGGGCCAAGAGAGAGGAAAAGAAAAGTCTCCAGCAGACTCTTACTGAGCAAAGAGTCTGACACAGAGCTCAATCCCACCACCTCAAGATCATGACCTGAGCTGAAATCAAGAGTGGGACACTTAAGCGACTGAGTCACCCAGGCACCCTGGGAGAGGATTTTTTTTTTAAAGCCTTGAATGGATCAAGTATTATGCTGACTGCTCTGCATGTACCATGTCATCTAATACTTGCCACCACTCTTAGAGTGGCTGAGCTTGACTTTCAGATGGAGAAACAGGGCCCAGAGAAGTCAAGTAACTTGCCTGAGGTCACACAGCTAGGAAGTGGGGAAACTGGTGTTCAAAGTTCTATCTGGCTTTTAAACACTCCTACTCTACTGGGAAGTGGCAGCAGATACTTTCCAGTGTCATCCTGAATTAACTGACCAACAAAAAGTCCTCCTTCTCTGCTCAGAGCCCTTCTTACCATGCCTCAGCCAGGATGCCTTGCTCCCAGGATGCAATACACATCCTCAGGTCCCTCTTAGGGGTTGAGGCTGAGCCATGAAATCTGAGTTTTGGAAGCGTCCTCCCAACCCACCATAGGTCTCAAAGAAACAAAGTTCTGAATCCATCGAGGATCCCAGGCGGGCAAGGATAAGGGCAAATGGCCCAAGACGAGCTAGGAGGAAGCCCGGCATATCCATAGAACCAAAAGCAAAGGGTTATGGTGTAGAAAGATACAAGTAAGGCTCAAGGATTAGATGATGGGTTGCAGAGATCTTCTCAGTCCTCTTTTAGAATCCCCCACTCTGTTACTGTGTTTCCATGGCCAAGTGACTTTACCTCTCTGAGCTTCAGTTTCAGCCAAAGGAAGATAACAGTCGACTTATCCAAGATAATGTACCCAACACAGTACCCCGTGAGTAATGGCAATGAATACAGGTGTCTCCTTGCTTTCTCCTCCCAGATGCCTCGGACACCACCCCCTGCTGCTTTGCCTACATCTCCCGCCGACTGCCCTTCACCCACATCCAGGAGTATTTCTACACCAGCAGCAAGTGCTCCATGCCAGCGGTCGTGTGAGTCCTAGACTTGTGGATCCTGGAGGGTGGGGGGGGTGGGGGGTTGGTGAGTAAGGGACACTTTTTATCCCAGAGCCAGTCCCCCCAGGAGCCCTCTAAGAGGGTACCCTATCCACTCCTACCCATCTTCCAGCTGCTCAGGGAGCCATAGTTCCCCCCCTCTGTAACTTCAGATCCCCCCACCACCCACTATCACATAGAAAATTAGACAAGCAGTTCCCGGGGCTGTTCTCCCCACTCTGACAGACTGGGTCAGGTCTCTGATCTTTAGGAGTAGGACTTTCACTGTAATATGACCTACAATTCCCCTGCATGGAGAAAAGATCGACACAATCATCTCTTTCCAATTAAGAACCCCACATTCCCCCATATCCCACACACTACTGAATCCACCTATAACCTCAGAAGATCTAAGGAGGAGAGCTCAGGGCCCTAGTTATAGCCAAGTGTATTTAAAAGAAAATTATCAATTGGTGAGGAAACAATGACAGGAAATTCTTTTAAATATGCAAACTAATGCATTTGGAAAAATTAACAGTCTACTACCTAGGAAGTGCCTACTCTCTATCGAATGCCTTACTTATACCTAAATTTCAGCACAACAACACTTACAGGTATGTGTAACTCTCTCCACGTTTTAGATAATGAATCTGAGACCCAGAGGGGTTTGGTGAGTTGCACAGTAGGGACAGAGCCTATTCTTGGAGCCTCCTCTTTCTACTACAGAAAGGTCAACAGCGATAATTGCTTAAGAAATTTAAGATAGAGACTTAAAAAGTGAAAATGGGGGTAATCATGAAGTTTCCTATCTAATGGTAAGGTCTTTTATTTTATTTTATTTTAGATTTGTGGAGAGGGAGAGAAAGAGAAAGAGAGAGAGCACAAGCGGGGGGAATGGCAGGCAGAGGGAGAAGCAGGATCCCCACTGAGCAGGGAGCCCAACGCAGGGCTCCATCCCAGAACCCTGGGATCATGACCTGAGCCAAAGGCAGACATTTAACACTGAGCCACCCAGGCATTCCACAAAGTTTTTTTAAATCCAAAAATTCCTGGGACACTTGCAAAGCTATAGGTATTCAGAATTGGCTTTCATTCTGGTGAGTCCTTCAAAGGAGAGTGGTAATTTTTAACTTTTATCTTAACTACTTATTATGTAACTACCCATTTTATCTCTGAAAATAAGTATTTTTCAAAAGAAAAAAAAAATCTTATTTGAGTACCTGTTACGGGCAGGTAGAGATGAATAAACCACCATCCCTGCCCTATTGGACTCACAGTCTGATACAAGGAAAAGACAGATACAAAACGACTAGAGCAACCCTTGCACAAAGAAACATTACAAGAGGAGAGAGGGAGCACAGCCAGCCTCAGAGGTGAGGGAACCTTTGCTGCAACAGGTGTTCAAGAAAAGCCCAAGGGACTGGGGACATTAGGCCGAGCGAACGCTGCCAGGACTGTCCTTTGGTTGAGGCAGCGTTCCCATGTAGAAAAGCAAGGAGGGTCTCAAGCGTCCACACGAGGATGCAAAAGTGTTAGAGCGAGTGAGAGGAGCTGGCACAGGGAAAGCCTAGAAAGTCAGGTTCAGTTAAGAGGCTGTTACGGTTACCCAAGTGAGTGGTATTGAGGCTCAACAGGACCTGAAGGGGAAGGGAAGGAGAGATGGGGTAGGAAACCATCACAGGAGGAGTCAACAAGCCCTGGCAGGTGAGGGGAGGTCAGGGGAGGTCAGGAGCAAGGACGAGAGGGGGTTAAGGGATACTAAGGTTTCTACCCAGACGGCTGGAGAAGTACGGACTCCCCTCTTCCCCAACTCTCAAGGAAGAGCTGTTGAAAGAGGAGAGAGCCCAAGCACCAGCACGAAAACCCTGCAGCAATGTCCAGCAGGGAGCATGAGAAGAGGCTGGAGATAGGACATTCTTTGATAGGAGGAAAGGGTCTCTTGAGAGACGAGAGTGGCGATCTTTAGCAGAGTCTTGGTGAGCGCTGGCTCCAGAGCTAGTTAGCCTAGGTTAGAATCCCAGCTGTGCCTGTTGGCAGCTGCAGGAGCTCGGAGCCAACAAGCAGCTAACCCCCCTGAGCCTCCATTTCTCCATCTGTGAAATGGAGTCAAAGGGAGAACAAGGAAATGAAACATGAAGTTGGAATATATCCTAGCATACAGCCTGAAAAGTCTTAACTTCTCCTCCTCCTTCTCCAAATGTACTGTTATACATACAGAAGTGACAGGTAAAACTTGAGCGAAAGCAGTTCATTCACTAACTCACTCGATAAACACCTATTAGGCGCCCGCCCTGTGCCAGACCAAGGGCCAGAGACTCGGGAGAAATACACAGAAAAGGGCAACAATTCTGAGAACACCAGCGCTCAAGGGGCAGGCAGAGGAGGCTGCTCCCAAGAGAACAGGCAGGAAGAGAGGCAGGAGGGAAGTGAGGCACATAGGGGGTCCCCAAAATGGGGGTAGGGAGAGAAGCTTAACCAGGAGGGGTTGTTCCTCAGTCTCACATTCTTCAGGAGGAAATGGAGGCCTGAGAAACCCTCAACCCAGATACTTGTTTCCTGCCCTTTTGATTTCCTGGCCACAGGCTGAGGGGGCCGAGAAGAGAGGATAGCAAGTCTGTAGGATTTCCTGTCTGACTCGTGGCTTGAACAAGGACAGGGGCTTGGTCTGAAGCTCCCTCGCCACCCCAAATAAGCAGACTAACCCTAGGAGGCATGAGAGCCCAGCATACTCCTCCTGCTCCCTTTCTCTCCTCTGCACACTAGAACGGAAGGAAGAGAGATGGCCAGGAGGCTCAGAGTCTCAGAAAAGGGAAGGCGGCTTCCTGGAGCACAAACACTATCCAGGATAGAACTTTAGAAGAAACCAAGAAAGCCTCATGGTCACCAGACGACCTAAGTCTTCACTTTGTCTGAAAACATCTGGGCTGTTAAGGTGCCTGAAAACATCCTAAAGAAGACAAAAGGAGAAAGGTCCAAGTAGACAGGCCTGGCCCCAAAGTAACGTGTTAACGGACAGCACTGCTCTAGGCCTACAGTCTCGCCTAGATAGAAAGGGTCTCCCAGCAAACAGGTGGGGCAGGCAGCTGAACTGAGCCCCGCAGGCTTTTATACCTCCAACCTTGCCATCAACACCTGTGGAGATAAGGCCTCGACCTCCCAGAGGCCTCCGCATGCCCAATAATTGGCAGAAGTGCTTTGACCATGGCTATACCTCGGGGCCACTGACCTCTCTGAGCGCTCATGTCCAGCACCAGGACCTTTGGTGTTATGTTCCTCTGATCCCTCCTAAAGAAGAATCCCACAACATTCCAATACATGCGTGGTATTTTCCAGAAGTCCACAATACTATCTCATTGTGAGTCTCACAAGAACAGTGCAAAGTAGGAATTATTTCTATCTATATTGCAGAGGCAAACAAATAGATTCGGAGGCCCTAAGTGATTTGCCAGGGTGAATCCACACATGAATAATGAAATCAAGACTCAGGGTCATGTCCTTCTGTCATCCACACACACACACTTAGATGTATTCATTTGTTGAGTGTATCCCGGGTGTCTACTGCGTTATCTAGAGCCCAATCGCATGTTTGGTCTTTTTAGCACTTCTTATCTCTCACCTATTCAACCATGACTCCGTTCCTAGAAGACACCTCTTTTTCTCACATCTTGAGCACCTGGCACAGGGTCTGAAATTGAGAAGCCCTGAGAAAAAGCTAGTAGTTGACCAGCTCAACCCTGGACTCCTCAGGCTCTACATGCCCTTACCTCTTCAGGCTGCACGGGTTTGTTTGGGACTTAAAATACACACAGATCTGCTTTTAGCTTGGAGCCCTACAACCCAACAGAAGAGGAAATATCCTTTCCTTAAAAGCTACAAATCAAGCCATACAGAGCTACGAGGGTGCCCCACCCCAGTACCATCGTCATCGTCCTTTTGTGGCTCCGTCCACCTCATTCCCAAAAATGGCTGTCCGAGTGCTGACCGGGTCTCATCCTTTCCTCTTCTCCCACAGCTTTGTCACCCGGAAGCACCGCCAAGTGTGTGCCAACCCACAGAAGAAATGGGTGCGGGACCACATCAACTCTTTGGAGATGAGTTAGGATGGAGGGCATCTCAACCTGAACTCATGCAAACTTCCCTAGTGCTTCTTGTTCTTGTCCTAACCAGCTTGGGAAATTCCCCCTAAACCCCTACTCCCACTTCCCCCTGGGAGGGCACAGATCCCCTCACCCAGCAGCAGCTATAAAAGCCTCTTCCACCTAAAGCTCCCAAGGGCTCCTGAGGCTCTGCCTTGTGTACCCGAAGCCCCTCAACTAGTTGGTCCTAGCTCTGCAATCAGAAAGGAAGTCAGCCTGCCTCGGAAGGCGAAGGAGGAAAACTGGGCTCCTTCGGTAAAGTCCTATGGCCACAGCTCCTCTCTCAGCCCCTCGCTGGGAAGCGCTGACTGGCACAATGTGAGAAATCAGCTTCCCATTAAAATTCTCCATGCAGTTACCAAGCTGGCTCCTGGTTTGTTTGCCTCCTCAGGAACCCTCCTTCCTCACAAGCATTAAGTAATTAGCTACATATCGAATTTAACTGTCCTTTTAAGCGTTCTTTAGCAGACTCTCTGTGTGTGTGTGTCTTCAAGTATTTTATTAGGAGTTCAGATCAAATCTTTATAGAATGTTCCCTAGTTTGGATTTGGCTGGTTGTTTTCCTCATAATTCGACTCAGGTTAAACATTTCTGGCACGGACACCACAGGGTGACACTGTGTTTCTCAGGGCAGCACATCAGGGTATGTGTTGGTTTACTGGTGATGTTGAGTCTGATGGCCTGACGGCCCAGGTTTTCTTGCCACAGCGAGCTCACTGCTGTGTGCCAGGCACTAGGCCAGGCATAGGAGGTTGGAGGGAAGAATGAGAGATGAGCCACAAGCCACAATCTTTAACTTCAGGCAGATTAAACTTATGATTAATACCGAAAGGAAGCAACTGTTCAAAAGACTGTGGTCATGTTGGGAGTAGGAGTTGGCGGCGGGGGGGGTGGGGCGGCGGGGGCGGGTGGTGACACCACTGAAGGGGGTGAGACAGGGTGGCTGGGGGAGAAAAGAGACATCAGAGATGAGATAACTTTTAAATGAAGTTTGAAAGATTGGAGAAAGAGTTTAGCAGGTAGGAAAGGCCTGCAGGTAGAGGGCACAGCATACGCAAAAGTAAGAGAGATGGAAGGCAGCTCCTCACCACATAGAGAAGAGCTCAGTCTCTTGCTCCTAAAGAGGGAGGTATGTGTATAAATGGGACTTCCCCACTCCTGCCATTTTCCTGATGACTAATCCTAAGAACCACCTGTGCCCTTCCCATGGGCTGATGTGCCTTGCCTCACCACAGTCCCTCTGGCTCCCAGACAGGCATGACTTTCCCATTTTTCAGATGAGGAAACTGAAGCTCTCAGAGGTCAAGTGACTAGCTCAAGGCCATAGGCTGGAGACTCTGGGGGTGGGACCTGGGGGGGGTGGGGCTCAAGAATGGAACCGGAGTCTTCTATTTACCTAGGAGATCTGGTTGCTCAACACTTGGAAGCTTCTACCCACAGAAGCCCCAGCCCCTCACCAGTCCCTCTTGTCCCACAGAGGACAGGTCTCCCCCCGCTGTGCCCCCATACTCCCAACAGCCTTGTATTGCCTGGGCTCCCTGTGGTCCCACCAGCAGAAGAGGAGTATGGCCTTCGAAAAATCAGCTGATATCTTTGCTATCTCCAGGTCGATGTTCAAGTACCCATGGCTGGAATACCCAGAAAGGACCAAAGGTGAGGCTGGAATAGACAGGAAGAGAATCAGGGGTGCAGCCTGAAAAGAAAAGCTCCCTGTCTCCCTCTCCCAAGATAGGGGTCTGTTGAGTTCAGCAAATCCACAGGAAGGGTGAGGGCAGGCCACTGGACACTTGGTGGCTCCCCATGGCCTTCAAGGTAAGCTCCAGGACCCTCAAAGATGGGACATCTGTCTTCCCAGCTTCTGTTCCCACATGTGCACCCTGTTCTCTACCCAACTCCCCACCTCCCAGTCTTTGAAAGAAGTTTTCCCTGTGCTCTTCCCCCTTATTGATCGAGCTAATCCCCAGGTGGATTAAACTGAGCCTCTGGGGAACCTTCCCTGATCCTCCTAGGCAGGTTAGGGGCCTCATCTGTACCACCTGTGCCTCTAACCTCACATTTGTCTCCCTTTGTTAATCACTAGTAAACAATTCTGTCTCACCAGCTAGATCCATGGTTCTCAAAGTGGGGTCCCAGGACAAGCAGTATCAGTATCTTCCAAATCCCCAGCCCCCACCATAGATCTACTGACTCTACTCAGAATGAGTGCCAGAAATTGGTTTTAAGAAGCTCTCCAGGTGATTCTACAGCCCACTCAAGTCTGAGAACCACTGAACAAGACCACTGGTTTTCACCATCAGCTGCACATTAGAATCATCTGGGGAGCTTTCTGAAAGGCCTAGGCCCTATCCCCAGAACATCAGATTCAATTAGTCTGATGTAGGGCCAAGGCAGGTTAAAAGTTCCCCCAAATAATTCTAACATGCACCATTCACTAAATGCTGAATAAATGAATGCCTGAATGGATGATTCTTAGCCCACCATTTGTACCACAGAACTCAGAAAAGTCATGGCTCCTGTTCACCTGCCCTTGTCCTGCTACCAGGTAAGACCTCTAACTTTTGCCCCCCGGGGGAGCTTTGTTGAAGTGGGAGAAGCAGCAAACTGCCCCTTTCCTTTAAGGCCAGGTCACAGAACACTTACACTCATCACTGGAGCTGCTGCTAATTCCTGTGTGACCTTGGACGAGTCACTTCCCCTCCCTGAGCCCCAGGATCTTCCTCGGTCACAGGTTCCATTTGTGGAGTTGCTATGAGATACTATCTGTAAGGCTCAGGCTATGCAGGCAGTGCTTAAAAAGGAGTCATTTTTATTCATTGACACAGGGATCCTCATAGATTTGCCAGACAGAATACTGGGTCCCCAACTAAATTTGAATTTCAGATAAATAATGTTTTTGTATAAATATGTCCCAAATATCGTATCCAATACCTAAAATCTGAATTTACCTGGACATCCTGTTTTTTTTTTTTTTATTTGCTTTGTTTTCACTAAATCTGACAACCCTTCTCATTCTGAGTCTGCACTCCACTTTCTGAAATCATGGCAATCACCTGACAACCTTGACTATGATCTTCTCAGTCACCACACTGGAAACCACTGGCTGATGCCCCTCTTGCTTGTTGCTCAGAGAACTGACTCTGACAAAGGCTGGAGAAGAGATAGGAGTGAATTCTAGCCGTATCTGCAGAGAGAAAGTCCCCTGAGCCACCCACCGCCCTCCACTACAATCAGAGCTGCAGTTTCACGACCATTTAAGAGAGGTTGTTTAAGGAAATTCTGCTTTTCCAAGTAAACTATTAAGTTCCACGAAGGCAGGGATGATGACTGCCTCCCCAGCACCTAGCACAGGGGTTGGCACTCAGTAGGTACTCCCTAAGTACCTGCCGCTCGCCTGAATGAAGGGGCAGTAGCCTGTCTTTTCCCCTCTTCATTCCACATCTCCCTCACCCTTTGCCTTTTCATCTCCTAGCCCAGATGGCCTTTTCAAAGTGCTTTGAGTTCCTCAAATAGCCAAAGGGTGTGCTCAGATTGGTTTACAGATCAACAAGGGCTCCACAACCTTTTACTCATTTGTTCTATGCAACAAGGGGTACAGAAAGAACAAGGATTATTAGCTCCATTCTGCAGATGAGAAGACTGAGATTTTGGTGGGTGAAGTCACTTGCCCAAGTCACACAATGGATAGGAGGTCTCTGACTCTAGCTGAGATGAGAGACTAAAGGGCATCCCTCTCACCTAGTCCCGTTTTATCCTGGTCCTTTTCCTGGCTGAGGAATATCCTCTGCCCCTGCTCCGCCATTCCCACCCCCTCAGATGCCAAAGGAAGAGTTTCCCCCCAGTCCAGAGTGCTGGAGGCAGCACCCGAGCAAGCCACATTCAGTGCCTTATTGCTACTTCAAGAAGCCTGAGATCTACACACACTGGCACACTCTGTATGATCAGCGACAGGAACGGGAAGCCCAGAAAATGTTGCGGAAAATGAGAGATCACCCTAGGTATGCTTTGCCCCTCCCTATTCCCCAGACCCTTCATACCTTCTAGGAAAGAGAGGAAGGAGAAGGAAGGAATGGGATAAGGGGCGGGACAAATCAGCTTACAGATCCCAGAGAGGAGCCTGGGGTAGGAAGAGGAGCATCTGTCTTCCTCCCATCTCTGAGCTGGGCTGAGGACCAAGGGCAGAGGAAAGTCTGTGAAGTGCGAAGGAGGAAACAAGGGGACCAAGGCTGGCCTATGCAATTTCTCACACAGGCAACTCAAAGAGGGCACGCCCATCCAAAAATTTCATCTCCCTATGAGCAAGCTGACTGTAAAATCTCAGGCAGGATCCAAGCCCTTGGACCCTACTGGGAACTCCCTGAAGTGGCAAAGATTAAAGGTCAGGGACCACGGTGGGAGGGAGAATGGGGAGACTCCCTTTCTGTGGGTGCCCTTACCTTGGACTCACATTATCCTTCAGCCCTCAGTCCCTGCCTACAAAATGGAGGGAGGAAAGGAAAAGGGATTGGATGAGCTCCTCTCTGTTTGAAGTTCTGTAACTACATTAATCCCTTTCTTCCTCTCTCCTGGCTCCCTTGGGTGGGCAGGAACTCACAAAAAGCCTGGAATCTCCCAGAGAGCAGGAGCAGTTCTATGCAGCACAGGTGAGAAGTGGCAAGGGTGGTGGAACATGGCCACAGGTAGGAGTTGGTTGAGCTGGGGAGTAGAAAGATGCTTAGGGGGGCGGGTGGGGAGACAGTATTCTAAGACAAAGCTCCAGCTGTGTTACATCCAAAGGATGTAACTGATGGGGGTGGTGTCTGAGATCTCTTCCCTTTCTTCCACCCCTGTTCTTGCAGGCTCTGGGACGCCTGGGTGTCAGTGACAAGCTTGTCATGGAGGCACTATGGCAGGTGGTGAGTCTGGGGCTGCATGGAGCACGTGAGAGGAGGAAACAGGGTCTGAGGTATGCTGAGCCTGGGCACAGGGGCACAGACAAGGCTCACCAGGGTGCAAGGATGCTGGGTCAGCTGCAGTGAGGAGAGAGCTGCCGGTGGACAGCGTGCCCCATCTTATGCCCTTGGCTTCCTCGAAGGGCAGCTTGGTGGGGCTAGGGGAATCTGCAGGTCCCCTCTGTCTAACAGAAAAGACCCTCAATTAAAAAGCAGAAAAGAACTGGGACTGAGTTCATTCTCTACCTTAACCGAATCAATGCCCTGTGCTTACAGGCCAATTTATAATGGGGAACATGCGTTTTTATCCATATTCTCATTTAAATATTTCAGATTAGGAAGAGGCAGAGGTATCTGCATTTTTTCTAATGATAAAATGGAAACTCTGAAAGTGAGCCGAGTGACTTGCCCAAGGTCACGTGGCTACTAGAGAC